TAATCCTTCTGAACAAGCCAAACCTGTTTGGACCAATGACGATTTGATAGCTTTTTTACACCAGTGGATTTTGCCATGTTTTTTCCCTACCTCTCCTGTGGAATCAGCTAGGCCTAGTACGACATTTTTTGACATGATTTCTCAGGTATGTTATGTTTTATCCAATTCCATACTTTTCTGTGATTCCTTATTACATCTATGTTGTCTTCAGATTTTGCTTTACACATGTGTTTTCACTGTAGGTTGGATCCTCTGAGTTGCGAAGCGACCTTGTCCTGGGTACGTTTACTGCCTTTTTCTTTTCAGGATTTCTGTTTTTCTTTTTTTGGTGGTATGTTTTCTATCATGTATGTGAGACTTTGGAATCTTGTGTATAATTTGTGAGTCAACACTCAACCCTTTCTTCTTTGGTTGCTCGCTTGTTGCAGTTGGAGGCAAAATACGCTATTCTTTTCCCATCTTGGTTCTTATCTACTCGTCCTTGTTCCCCTTCCAGGAGTTTCTCATCTCATCATTTTATTCAACGTTGATGGGCATTTTGCCAATAGTACCAGAGACTAACCAGAGGGTTCTGGTCCAGTGGGAGCTTGACTATATTATACTTATCCTTTGGTGATCTTTCACTACAGTTCCACTTGTCCTACTAATTCTTTTCCCACCTCCTTTGTCCCTGGTACCTTTTTCTTTTCCCATGACTTGGTATTCTGAGGTGGTACAAGATTTTCTGTCAGTACAGGCCATTGCACCTGTTCATCATCTTTCTCCAGGCTGTTTGTTGTCCTCGTAACAAACCGGAGACTGGTGGCCTGTACTAGGTTTGTCTCACCTTATTCTAATTTTCAGTCTATCCTATTTTACCTTGAAGTCATTTCTTACCCTTAGGTGGGCTTTTTCTTCAGGTTCATTGATGACAAAGAGAAATGTTGCAAATGTTTATTTGCATATCTCAGTATTTCGTCACTCACGACTCTCTCTTCAATTTATTCTCCACAGGGTGGTTTCTCTGTTTCGTGCACTGACCTTTGGACTTGCTTCAGCCCTGTATGTCTTGTTGGGCATTCAGAGGATTAATTTGTTGCTTATATGCTCTTAGGTTACGCTTTCCTTTTTCTGTGGTCGACTGGTCACTTTTTGTTCTGAACAGGAGTCTGCCTGTTACCCTTATCAGCTGCTCCTTGAGGTGGCTGTAATCAGCTGTTAAGCAAGTTGAAGACGTCCTTACTATGACCTATCCAGTATCTTGTTATTTTTCTACACACATCTCAGTTTGGCCTGGCCTTCTCCTCTTTGACTTAGTTTGATGGGTTTTCAGTTTGATTACAACTCACAAAATTATATCACTTTTGGAGATGTGATTTTACATGTTAGACGTTATTCCCTTAGGTCAAGCTCATATGCAGGCTCTTTTGTGAGCTTTTCATGACTGGTGTAATTTTGCAGGGATCCTTTATCAGCTCTTATTACCCTTCATCCTACCCTTGTTGTTGATTGGCGTTGGTGGATAGATATGACTTGCATGTTGGCGTGTGTCCCACTTCCTCCTCCTTTTCCGGTTTACCACATTTCATGAATGCATCCTATTGGGGATTGGGGGCATGGGTTGATTAACTGGAAGATTTGGTTTTTTTTTTGTCTGTGGCTGAGAGGTCTTATGCTAACAAAACCCTGGAGCGGAGGTAATGTACCGTATCAGAAGTTATTATTTTCCTATACCAAAAATATATATCTAATAGGTACTTGCATCCCCTCACAATTCCCACCCTTCCTTCCCACTGAAAACTGGTGCTTCTATCTGCCGAAATTTGAAGTGATAGTTTGGTAGAATTGAATCGAGGGAGTCACATGCGTTATGAGAGTGTGTCACACTCTTATTCGTGGAGGGATGATGCATGATGATTTGCATTAGAGATAAGACCTATCAGAAATACATTTTCAATGTAGGAAAATTATAACTTACATGTAAAGCCACTCCTTTCCCCCTCTTTAGTACTCTGTCCCTATTAAATAGCCTATAACCCTATATTTTTAAAGAAATTTCTATCATCAAAATCATCAACATTTAACCATGTTTCAGTTATTCCCATTTTATCAAAATCCTCCATTCTTACCAGTGCTCTAAAGTCATCTATTTTATTTCTTCATATACTTCTAGCATTACAACAGTAACAGTTAACCCTATCCTTATAGCTAATTATATCATGTGATTGAAGTTGTAGAATTAAGTACACCACCTTACAGCACTTATTCACTAGATAATTAAAAATTAATGTCATTTATTCCTGAAATATGTGGCAGAAATATGGCCAATTCCCTCAAACAAAAAATAGTTTGAGAAAGTGACACAACTAGGTCAGGGTTAAAGTTTCAGCTAATACATCTGTTATTTTAGATTGATAAATCATCATCACATTCCATTTTAATAATATCAATAAAATGTTTACAATTAACTATACAATACCACACAAAAATATAGTTCAAGCATGTTTGATCGCAGTGCTAATCAATTGTGAAGATTATAGCTACCACGTTTTCACAAAATAAAAATCCAGTAAATGTGAAAATATTGTATTCCTACAATTCTTTCAAAATCTCTCCTGTGACATTTATTGTAAAAAACAAAACACTAGTAAAATATCATTCATGGAATAGAAGCATTGTTTTTACACTTTTCCATATTATGGAGTGTTTTAAATGACATAGTTACATTTTGTGGCAGTTTTTTTAACATTTATATTCTTTATGGTGTTACTTCTTTATTAGAGAAATTACATTGTGACTTGTTTTACATTTTCAGAATTTTAATATTCTTTGTCACATAAGGTTTTTTTATCATCTAGTAGTTCTCTCTTTATGCTTGTATATGACAAACTTACATTTTATGTTATTTATTATTATTTGTTAATGTGCTCCACATAGGAAAAAGCTTAGACAGAATCGTTGAAGGGTTAGAATATAAAGTGATTCTAAATTATGTACATACTGCATGGAGCATGTTAACAAAAATATTTTTATTATTATTTTTGTTAACATGCTGTACGTAGTACATTCGTAATTTAGACTCTCTTTATATTCTAACCCTTCAACAATTCTGTCTAAGCCTTTTTTTTCTATGTAACATGGTTTAAACTGCCTGACGAAGGGCTTCTTCCCTAAACATTGCAAATAATAATAAAGTTTTTGTTATAGATGTATGTTTTACCAGTTTTGAACACTTTTTTTAATTATTTTTCCATGTCTTGTGGTTTTCTGTCGTGTACATTTTATAGTTGTTTTCCTCTCCAGTTTTCTTTGCCTTGTATTTAGTTGTTCAGTTAGAAGTTTTAAAAAGTAAAAATAAAAAGTTAACAAACCCAAAAAATGAAAGTCCGTAAACCATTAAACAAAAATTAATATCTACAACCAACTAAGAGAGCTATATCAATATTGCTACATGCAATTAATTAATGTAACTTTGTAGCATCCATGGAATACCTAAAATTGAAAATGTGCTAAATTTTAATGTTTTATTGCTTATTCCAGTACAAAACCATGTAAGTACTTTAAACAAGGACAAGGTGTGTGTCCATTTGCTGGAGCTTGTTTCTATCTGCATGCTTATCCAGATGGCAGGAAAGCTGAACTTCCACCTCCCAGACCTCGTCGTCGAAGGAACCATGGAGAACTAGAGACATTTGATGTGAGCCTAGTTTGTTACGATTTATATGTAAAAAAAAAACAAACTAGAAATAATTAATTTTTCTAAGCTGATGCAAGTGTAACACCAATGTCATAATGAATGTGTCTCATGAAGCGAGCATACTTGAATTCAGTTCATTTTAAAATTTGGGTTAAAAAAGTAATAGTATCAAAGTTTAAGTAAAGTTTGCTAATATCTAACAAGGAGAAAATCATTAACAAAAATACTACAGATAGAAGTTAGCTTGGACCTATAATTTTGCATTGAAACTTTCCCATGTTTAAATATAATACATGAATTAGTGAAGCACTTTGGAAGAAATTACGCTATTAGTTGTTAGTCATAAAAATTTTGGCTTTAAGGCTAACAAGTGTCTTGAGAAATTTAGTTTTAGAGTGTTCATTATGGATTCAAAACAATCATCACCTGGGCAAAATTATTGGAAAGAAGAGGGATTTGTGAGAGATAAAAAATGTTATTTTTCACATGTTATTTCTTACAAATTTGTAATAGGCAAATTTAGAGTAATATGAGAAAAACACTTTCCAGTCTAGCATGATTTTTGATGCTAATATTGCATCTAAAATTCTTCTTAGTTAATTAATTACATATTGTACTTTTGCTGAAATCAAATTTTGAAACAGATTTTCAAAAGTTTTATCTTTGCAAGTAAAATTCACACACTGGAAGATCTCTGTAAAGGAAATGGTAGCTTGTTGTTGACAGCATGAAGGGCCCGGCATGGCCAGGTGGTTAGGGCGCTCAACTTGCAATCTGTGGGTCACAGGTTCGAATCCCCGTCACACCAAGCATGCTTGCCCTTTCAGCTGTGGAGGCACTATAATGTGATGGTTAGTCCCACTATTCATTGGTAAAAGAATAGCCCAAGAGTTGGTGGTGGGTGGTGATGACTAGCTGCCTTGCCTCTAGTCTCACACTGCTAAATTAGTGACAGCATCAATTATAATTTGAAAGAAGATTACTATGTTTTGAAATTGATAGTTCATTAAAAACATTTTTCAACAGTTATGTAAATATCAATTGAACACTTATTTTGTATTGCAGAGGATATTCTTGTGGGATTTCTTTGATATCCATGATGACCAGATACTGTTTCACTTGGATATTGAAGATATGTTTGACTTGTTCACCGACACTGATGAAGAATCAGAGTATAGTGATTTGGACTTATAGGAAATGTTTCTTAGTTTTCAGTTTTTAGTATACCTCATAAAAAAGAAAAAAAAAAGAAAGAAAAAGAAAAAAATTGGCATCACTGGGCACCTCAGGAGTTAAGAGCAAAAGTTTGTTAGATGAATCAGTTTTACTGTATATGTGTTTCTTTGGCCTTTTTATGTTATGTTGTGATACGGTTTTGTATAAGTTTGATAATATTTAGAAAATAAATCAAGCTATCTTTGTTTGTTATTGGACATTTAGTTTTAGAATTTTAAAACTAAGACTTGTGGTTTGTTAATGTCTGTTTAACTTGTAGTGTTTGTTTTATTTTCAGAAACTTTTAAGGTGAAAAAACTTCATGATCATACAAAACTTCAGCAACTAAAGATTGTGTGTGTATGACTTATGATATTTCAATTCTGCTGTGTAGAGATTATAGGTTTTGTAATGTGTTTTTTGTAACTTTATGTGATTATTTTTGTCAGTTTTTATAAATCATGCCTCTGTTTTTTACCCCGGAGGTTCATCTATCACTTGAACATATGACAGGGTAACCTTATTTCTTATTAGACTGACATTTTAATAAAAACTGTAATTTTGGAATGAGTTTTTGTACCAGTTTTTATTGTTTTATGCACACAAAATGTGTTTGTGTTAATATGTTTATACACTGTTCAACAGTATTGGTGCAACCTTAATAGCTGTTGTTCCAAATTTCTTCAATCGTGTTTTCAATAAATTGTTTTATTTTCAAATTCTGGAGAATTACCTTGCTATTAAATATAGTTTTGAGTCTCTTAGTACATTTAGGTGTAAATCAGCATTTTTAGTTTTTACTGAAACAATAAGACATATTTGAAATTTGTTTGTTGTCCTATAACAAGTCTATTGTAGGAATCTCAGTGTAACTGATATATTCCTGTTTTTACCACCAATTTAAAAAATATTTTCAGACAATAGTTGTTTGTACTTTTTTCTCTCTCTCTCTTTTTCCTGTGTAGAGAAATTAATCATGTGCAATATTCTTGCTTATTAAAGATATATTATTTCATCAGTTCTTTAGTATAAAAAAATATACTAATTATATTAACTTTAAATCTTATTAAGTACAAAATATTGTGGCTTAAGTCTCATACATAATCTGTGGAATAGTTGATATAGAACATATCAACTTTTTTCTATAGTTCATAATCTGCAAAGTAGTTAAAAAGCTTTCATTTCATCTCTGGGAATTTTACTTGTATCATTTCAGTAAACTAATTGTAAGTTCCATTACCTTTCATGATTTGTAAATTCTAAATTTAATCATTTGTAATTGATGTGTAATTTGGCAAAAATTATCTTTAGAATTTTCTTTGGAATGGAAAATGTATTTGTAGAAACTTGTATTACTGTAAATTATAGATATTTTATTCGGTAATTAAACCTGAAATATTAAACATGTCTATTAGTAGAAACTTGTATTACTGTTAGTTGTATTATAGAAATTCTATTCAATCATTACACATGAAATATTTAACAGACAATCCAAAAATAAACTAGTGGAAAATTTCAGTTTTGGAAAAAGAGTGTTGAGAATTTGTGTCATAGTTAGTATTATGAGCATTCAGATACCTCGTAAGTTAAATTTTCATTATTCATAATCTGATATTAATGACAGTATCATTGTGTCAGTTGTTATTGTTGTCATATCTCTTAAACTAAATCAGACCATGGATATTTAGAACACACTTTTGATACAGGCACACAAAGCTTTCTCAGTCTTCTTTGCCCACAAACCATTGCCAAAAAATTTTCATGACTAGTGTACTAGTCTATATACCCTATCAATTATGTGCCATTTCTGAACATGTACATATCCTGTGACTATTCTTCACCAATAGTATTGTTCTACCTATATTGGCGCAGCTAGCTCCCTCTGCTATTTGCACTTAATCTTCATTTTCTCAATTGGCACAACATTGTTTAGATGCGTGTTTTCTTGCATGTAGCTATAATTTATAAATATGCTTCTTTGTCATTACAGTTTTTTTCCAACAGTTTTATTTTACTGCATTTACTTGTTTCAACATTCTTTTTCTTTCTTTTTTTTTTTTTTTTAGCATTTATTACCAGAGATCATAGTATGAATTTGTGATCAATGTATGAATTATGGTAATTTCTGTTACGGTCAAAAATGCTACTGGTACGACTTCCCAGGAATTTGGTTTGACTTTATTTGCAGAGGAGGTACAGGTCTTAATTTGCATTTGTTCAACAAGCAATTTCTTCTTTTCAATGTGACAGTGTTTCTGAAATACAGTTAATGATAAGATAATTTGGACTTTCTTTTTCTGGCACCTTCTTATTTTGGTCTGTCACACTCTATACCTTTTTTAGATTTCACCTTCCATCAGTTGGCGTGATGCCATGTCATTCACTTTGGTCGAGAATTGTCCTTCCAAGTGATATACCCCTCGACGTGGATTCCTGTACATGGTGAGGGGACCTCCCAGGGAAGGTTCTGTATTTTCAGTTACTTCCTCTGGGATCTAAACATCTATCCACGTGTTTGCCGTGCGTGGCGACCCGTTAAGGGGAGGAGAGGATCCTGGAGGTTGAGTGGTGTCTGGGGCACTGCAACACACCACTTTGGCCTTGAATTCCTGTAGACAGGTGGCCTTTGGGTGGCCCCCCCCAGGGTCATTCGGCTGGTCCTCTTGGGCTAGGGTCAACTGAGTACCAGTGTTGGGCGTTCTCAACGGGTGTTGTGGACATTGTGTCTGATGCTGGCGTTGCTGCAGTTTCCTTGTTTGACATTGTAGTGCATCCCCTTGTAGGACTCCATGGCAGGTGGGGTCAGTGGGCACTGAAACTTTTTTCTTAATTATGAATCCCCCCAATCCAAATGAAAAAATAGTGAAAACTCTGCTTATTGGTAAACGATCATGCCTAGAAGACTCTGCACAGCCATCTCCACCACAAGGTGACCCTGTACCTCGCTTTCTGATCTTACATTCACTATCTGATAAATCTTTAGGGCAAATGTCCCCCTTTTTTATTCAGAAGGGTTTAGAGGGGCTTGCTGGCTCTCCAAAGTCAGTTAAGAAACTCCATTCTGGAGACATCTTGGTCGAAATATCCACAGCTAAGCACAGTGAACTCCTCTTGAATTCAAGGGCCATTGGGGATATGCCTATTGAGGTTACTTCCCATGCTTCCTTGAATTCATCACGAGGAGTTATTGTTGACAGGGACTTGAAGTCTATCCCCAAGTTAGAGATCCTTGCTGGTATCTCCAGCCAAGGAGTTTCAGCTGTCGATAGATCTCCACTCATAAGGATGGTATTATGGTGCCGACCTCAGTTCTTATTTTTACATTTTCATCACCACATCCACTGGCCGCTGTTAAGGCAGGTTATTTGAACTGTAAGGTACGGCCTTATATTCCAAACCCTCTCTGATGTTTTCAGTGCCAGCGGTTTGGTCATTTAGTGACATCTTGTCGTGGTTCTATGACATGTGCTCGTTGTGGTGGCAAGGACCACGACACCTATGAATGTAAACTGGACCCGCACTGTGTTAATTGTAGTGGTTCCCACCCCTCTTACTTTAGCCCTAAGTGGGTGGAGGAGAAAAAGGTACAGCATTTGAAGACCGTTCACAATATTTCCTATCCAGAGGCTTGGAAGCTATTGTTCCCTACTCCATCTCGGACATATGCCACTGCACTACTCTCCACTGCTACAGTGGGAGTGCAGATGGACCTTTCCGTGCCTCCATCTGAGTCTTTTTTCACGCCATGTGAGAGGTCTTCTTTCCTCCATGATTAATAGAGTTGATAGGTCTACGTCGACTCCAATCTCTGTCCCCACTATTCCTTCCAGTGACTGCCTGGGTCAACCTCCTCAGGCACCAGCCTCTGGTGTCCGTGTGAGTCCTTCTTTGGCCCCTAAAAGCAGGACAATCATTCTATCACGTCCTCAGTCCTTGAATTCTCACACTGATGACAGAGATCTGCCCACTTGATCAAGGGCAGGATCCATGGAGGTCGATCGACCCCCCTCTAGTAAAGAAAAACGACGTGGTCGTAAACTGAAGGGTTCCCCACCCTTTTCTCCTAAACATACATAACAATGGCCACATTAATACAGTGGAACATTAAGGCCTTGATTGACTCTTATCATCCCGTGTGTCTATCCTTGCAGGAAACATTCCTGACACCTGCCAATACAGTCACCTTTCAGCAATTTTCTCTGTACCAGAATGACAGGTTGTGTGATGGGCGGGTGCATGGAGGGGGTGGCACTGCTGGTCGACCAGCA